TGTGTGTGTGTGTGTGTGTGTGTGTGTGTGTGTGTGTGTGTGTGTGTGTGTGTGTGTGTGTGTTCATCACGTGTGTGACTCTTTGTGCTTCTTAGATTAGGTTAGGGTTGAGTACTAATTATGCTCACTGTTTTCAGGAATTAGGTGGCAGTCAGTGGAACATACCCTGAGGATGAGTGTGTGAGTGTTCTGACTGATGAAATATGGTGTGAACTTGGAGATGTCAGAATTTGCATCTTTCCCATTTAAAGCAATAACTTATTTATTACTAAAACAAATGTCTGATGGAAGCCAAAGTAAGCTGAGAATTTAATAACTAATAAATTAGATTTTGTTGTCGACTATGGAGAATTAAGACATTTATTAACATCCGTCCTGTAAGGATCTGTGTCTTGTGTGTGTGCTTTCTGTTGTCTTGTGCCTCCCTCTAGTGTTCCTTTCATGCCATGTCATCTCAGTCCTCAGATTATTCAGTCTCTTCCGGTCAGTTCTCTCACACCTGTTGTCACTCTTTAATCACTCAGTTTCAATTTTTTGCCACCACGTTGGCCTTTACTTTAATAAATTTTTGTTTAATTTTGAGTCTGCCTGCATTTGGGTCCATCCTGCTACCAAGATCTTAACAGAATGGTCGGACCAACTATAGATCCAGCAGARAGTCCTGTTCTTGGGTTGTCCCCAGAGGAAGCTCTTTTGGTCCAGAGGAGGACCCGTGCTCTTATCGAGGCAGGTGGCCCCTCTGGACTTATGGGCCAGGTGGGTAGCAACGGAGGACTTTGTCTGCCTGTTCTCTCAGCTCCCCCACCTGATCTCCAGCCCCGGGATGTCAGAGGTCTTCTCGGAAGACCTCACATGCAACAGACTCCTCCGTGCCGCCCTTCTTACCCCATCTGCTGGACCATCCGTCGAGCTGATGGGTTCCAGCTCTGCTGAGCCAATGGGTGCCCGCTCTTCCGAGCCAATGGGTGCCTGCGACCCAGAGAGGGTCGACACGTCTGCCTCCTGCGACCCGGAGAGGGTCGACGCCTCAATCTCCTGTGTTCCTGAGGGGATGAACACCTCCATCTCCTGTGTTCCTGAGGGGGTCGACGCCTCCATCTCCTGTGTTCCTGAGGGGGTCGACGCCTCAATTTCCTGTGTTCCTGAGGGAGTTGACGCCTCCATCTCCTGTGTTCCTGAGGGGACCGACGCCTCCATCTCCTGTGTTCCTGAGGGGGTCGACYCCTCCATCTRCTGTGCCCCGGAGAGGGTCGACGCCTCTGCTCCCTGTGTGGGTGCCCTTGGGGGGAGGGAGATGGTGGTCACCGCCTCTGCTGCACTTTTGGCGGTGGTCACCATGTTCGCTGCAACCTTGGTGGAGGTCCTTCTGCCTACTGCAGCTGAGCCCCCCTTCTCTGRTGCAGCTGGGCCTCCTGAGCCCTCATCACCTGCTGCAGCCCCCAAGGTGGTCCACGACCCTGTTGCAGCCGCCGATGTCTTTTCGCCTGCTCCATCATCTGGTCCTGCTCTGGCAGTATCATCAGCCCCTGAGCTGCAGTCAGCCTCCAAGTCTCCCCAGGCCCCGGATGGGATTGTTAAGTCCCCGGGTCTACCTGTGTATCCTGAGTCCTCAGAGCCAGAACCAGCACCTGAGCCTACAAAGCCCCTGGGTCAGATTGTGAAGTCCCCGGGCCASCCTGAGCCTACTGAGCCCCCGGGTCTGCCTGAGGCTCTTAAGGTCTCCAAGCCGGTCTCTACTCCTGAGGTCTCCACGTCGGCCGGACCCGAGCTCTTATCATTAGCTGCAGCCCCTGAGCTCTCATCATCTGCTGCAGCCCCACCTGAGCTCTCCACGTCTGCTGTTGCTGCTGAACCTCCAGAGTCAGCAGCTGAGCCCTCCTTGTCGTCTGCAGCTGAGTCCTCCTTGCTGTCTACAGCTGAGGTCTCCTTACCGTCTGCAGCTGAGGTCTCTTTGCCATCTGCAGCTGAGGTCTCCTTGCCGTCTGCAGCTGAGGTCTCCTTGCCGTCTGCAGCTGAGGTCTCCTTGCCGTCTGCAGCTGAGGTCTCCTTGCCGTCTGCAGCTGAGGTCTCCTTGTTGCCTGCAGCTGAGGTCTCCGTACCACCTGTTGCCAGGATCTTCAAGTCGGCCGATCCTGAGCTCTCAGCGCCAGCTGCAGTTGCAGAGTCTCCTGAGCCGGCACCTCCAGAGCTCTGCCTCCACTGCGGCCGGGTCCCCGGTCYTCCTCCAGAGCCTCTGCCTCCTGCCTCGTCTGTGTTGGGTCCCTGGGCGCCCACCTGAACTTCCTCCCCACCACCATGTGCCTAGGGCTATCCTAGTGACTGACTTTGGTTTTATTTTCTCCCAGGGTTTCCCGTCGGTTTTTGGTTTGCCTTTCTTTCTTTGTTTGTTTTTCTTTTGTTCCCTGTCTGTTTTTTGGCCCATGTTGTCTTTGTTGTTGTTTCTGGCCCTCCYTCCTGTTTTATTGTTTGTGCCCCTTCCACCCTTCTTCTGTGTTTTGGTGATTGTCAGGAAATGATCTTTGGGGAGGAGGTACTGTAAGGATCTGTGTCTTGTGTGTGCTTTCTGTTGTCTTGTGCCTCCCTCTAGTGTTCCTTTTCAGAGATGCACCAATCCAAAACCAGTGTCTGTATCGGTCCCGATATTTAACAAACTTCTAGATCGGGTATCGGTGACAGTTGACCCAATCCATAGGGGCAGATCTATATAGTTTATTTCTATGCTGAGGTCCGCGAGTGATGTGACATCATGCGCCAGCGACACGCAGTGCAGTGGCCGTGCTGTTTTCAAAATGGAGCGAGCGAAAGGATCAGCCACCTGGAGCTTTTTTACTTTATCTCACCCAACACATCCAACAGCTACGTGCAATACATGCGCAGTGACTGTTCCAAGGGATGGAAGTAAAGCTTCAAGCTACAACACAACCAACTTAATCAAGCATCTCCAGCGATTTCACCCGAAAGAGCATGCRGAGTTTGTTGAACGGAATCAACAAAAAGGAGGCGGCATGAAGCAGCTAACTTTGAAGGAGATGAAGGAAAGAGGTGAAATGTTTCCACCTAATAGTGTGCAGGCAACAAAAATCACTGAGCGGATACTAAACTTTATTTTCATGGATGGACAGCCGCTCTCAGTTGTTGGAG